ATGATTTATGTCAGATTTTAAATTACACCAAATTATTGTTTGTTGATTTTAATAGTTAAATCTGTCAGTGCAGGTCCTTCTAGAAAAATTAGCGTATTGTGATAAAGTTCATTATTGTCTGTAATGTACTGATAAACATTAGACTTTCATATATATTAGATTCATTACACACAACTGAAGTAGTTCAAGCCTTTTATTGTTTCTAATATTGATGATTTTGGCGTACAGCTCATGAAAACCCAAAATTCTAATCTAAAAAATAATTAGCATATCATGAAAAGGTTCTCTAAACGAGCTACTGTATTAACCTAATCATCTGAATCAATTAATCAACTCTAAACACCTGCAAAAGATTCCTGAGGCTTTTAAAAACTCCCAGCCTGGTCCATTACTCAAAACCGCAATCATGGGTAAGACTGCCGACCCGACTGCTGTCCAGATGGCCATCATTGACACCCTCAAGCAAGAAAAATCCGACTGGGCAGAGGGAAACGCCAAAATGCCTGAAGTCCAGTGTCAAGTACCCACAGTCAGTGATGGTCTGGGGTGCCATGTCAGCTGCTGGTGTTTGTCCACTGTGTTTTATCAAGGGCAGGGTCAAGGCAGCTAGCTATCAGGAGATTTTGGAGCACTTCATGCTTCCATCTGCTGAAAAGCTTTATGGAGATGAAGATTTCCTTTTTCAGCACGACCTGGCACCTGCTCACAGTGCCAAAACCACTGGTAAATGGTTTACTGACCATGGTATTACTGTGCTCAACTGGCCTGCCAACTCTCCTGACCTGAACCCCGTAGAGACTCTGTGGGATATTGTGAAGAGAAAGTTGAGAGACGCACGACCCAACACTCTGGATGAGCTTAAGGCCGCTATCGAAGCATCCTGGGTCTCCATAACACCTCAGCAGTGCCACAGGCTGGTTGCCTCCATGCCACGCCACATTGAAGCAGTCATTTCTGCTAAAGGATTCCCGACCAAGTATTGAGTGCATAACTGAGCATAATTATTTGAAGGTTGACTTTTGTTGTATTAAAAACACTTTTCTATCATTGGTCGGATGAAATATGCTAATTTTTGGAGATAGGAATTTTGGGTTTTCATGAGCTGAACGCCACAATCATCAATATTAGAAACAATAAAAGGCTTGAACTACTTCAGTTGTGTGTAATGAATCTAATATATTTGAAAGTCTAATGTTTATCAGTGCATTACAGACAATAATGAACTTAATCACAATATGCTAATTTTTGGAGAGAGACCTGTATCAGTTTCTCTAAATCCGAAAAGGGGAGACTGCCTTCTCCAGGTCAGAGACGAGGTCCTGCTTCAAGCAGAGAAGTTTAAGTATGTCTGGTTTGTTCACCAGTGAGGGAAAGATGGAGTGTGAGCTCGACAGGTGTATAGGTGCTGTGTCTGCAGTGATGCGGGTGTACTGATCTGTCGTGGTGAAGACGAGAGAACTGAGCCGGAAGGCTGTTTTGTTGTTAAAGGTTAACTCTCTTATGGTTTTTAGACTTTTCTCAACTTTGTGGGGTTTAAAGCACCTTCTAGTTTGGTAAAATTTTAACAAAGTTTTAACCAGGTGTTTTAATTGTTGATAAGTAGCCTTATTGAGAATTTTTTGTTTGGCATTATTTTTATAATACTCGCTATCTGTCATGCTTGTTATTAGAACCTTTTATGACAAATGAATGCATTTTTAATTCCACTGCCATGTTTCTTGTTACCCCTCTCCTTCACATTTTTACCATCTCATGTTGGGACGCAACAGTATGTCTGAGTCTTTTGCATCGATATATACATATATGGACAATGGGTTTCCATAAACCCCAATAACACATTTTTGAAGAGAAATGGGAGGTGGCCACCACCGCCATTTTGACCGTGTCACAGGTTCCGTCAAGCCCAGACAATTCCACAAAAGGGAAGAGAGGTGGAGCTGAGGGTGGGGCTGTAAGGCTGGGATCAACTGACGACACCCGGTCGAACTAGCTACAAGCTAACCTGAAGCTAACCCAAAGCTAACGCGGAGGTGGGAGCTAAGCTAACGGAGGTAGCAACCTAGCTACAACCGGAGTTAACTGTGCACAACACCAGAGCTTCTGAGTCAGAGATACGCCGGGCTGACCGCTGGGTAAAACCAGGTGGAACACAGAGGTCTCCCGAGAGCTCCACAAGCCGGCAGCCGCGCAGCAGACAAGTGACCTTTCCACGGAGCTAGCTCTGCGGTCACGTGGGTCGGAGGCTCATTAATTATTCAGAATTTTCGGCTTTTAATACACTTAAACAGAAGAGTGAGAAAAAAATTCATCCCCCTCAGAGTTGTCATGAGTGTAAACTAGATCATTTAAACCAAAAACATGTTTTGGTACCAGGCTGTAAACATGTTTATTTCTGCTGTGAAATTGGTATTTTTAACATGGGAGTCAATGAGGATTTGCTCGCTTCTGACACCAGCCCCTAGTGGATGAGGGTGGAACTGCAATTTATTTCATTTCCGCATTGGCCTCAATTTCTGTTCCCCATTGTGGGGTCTTGGTCTCTTACAGTATGCTGCAATGTGTTGAAACATCATTTTTTTCACTTTTTATTTGTGGTTTTTAGTAGCCTGACCAGCCAGCCCCATGCTTCCTTTTGTGTCTGGTAACTCTCCTACTCAAATAACCCCACCCCCTGAGAATTCTAACTGAGACAATCAGCACTGAGTAGCGTACATCACACACCACAACGCTGAGTTTGTCATAAACATGGCGACTGCAGAGGTGTTTGCTGCAGCTCTTTCCTCTGTTCTAAATGACTAGGATGTGTCTTTAAAACCAAAACAAGAAGCACTAAAAGCATCACAATATGACGCGTGTGACCAAGCATCAATATATGACGATTCGGGACTCCCCAGCGCGTCAGGAAACGACGATCAGGGACACGCAGGGTCATGTGGCTCCGCTGGCGTCAGTGTTTGACGCCCGCAGTCACACGGACATTATTCGACTACTTAACCTTCCCCTCACCCCATTCAATTCAATTCAATTCAAGTTTATTCATAAAGCGCCAAATCACGACAAGAGTCATCTCAAGGCACTTCACATAATAAACATTCCAATTCAGGTCAGTTCATTAAGCCAATCAGAAATAATGTTTCCTATATAAGGAACCCAGCAAATTGCATCAAGTCACTGACTAGTGTCAGTGACTATACAGCAATCCTCACCTTAAGGTCAGATTGGGGTGAGGGGAAGGTTAAGTAGTTCACAAGTCGTTTTAAAGTCCGTCTCACCACCGGCGTTGGGTACCGACGCTCTGGGACGGTGCGTCATCAATGTGTCCCTGATCGTCGTCACCTGACACGCTGGGGCGTCCCGAATCGTCATATATTGACGCTTGGTCACACGCGTTATATTTTGACGCTTTGGGTGTGAGAATGTGTTGGTCAAGCAGGCAGGCATTGGGTCCCATTCTTTTATATTCTTTGTTTTCAGCTTCTGGTGACCTAGGAGCCACAGCTTGTAGACCTCTCATATCAGCATTACTAACCCCCAAATTCCACTACCTCCGCTCCGCTCCGACACGAACGCCGGAGCAAAATCGGTCCCGTTCTAGTCAATCAGAGCAATTCCACTACTGCGGCCGTGCTCCGGCAGTGCGGCGCCGTGCGCAGCCCTCTGTTCCGGCGTCCGGCAAAAATAGAATCGATCCTATTTTCGCCGGACGCCGGAGCACCTCCGCAGTAAATGGACAGAAATCACAACGGCCCAACAGGAAAAGGAGCAAGCACAATTTCCGTTTTTCACAATAAATCGATAAACAAAAGCCATTTTTTGTTTCATATGCACAGGTTTAACAACTTTTAACAACTATCAATGGCGGCTGAAGTTTAAATGCACAAAAGTAAGCCATAAATACAGTTTCTACTATCAAAGTAGTCACACTTTGTTGATCCAAACGCTGCTGATCTCTCAACACAAATGATGGGCAGATTAAACAGTTCATGCCGATGCTTCTCCCACACAACGGGTGTTTGGATCTAACTTCCGCGTTTATTGCTCGGACTGTATCGCAAGATCTCGAAAATCCCGCGCATGCTTGTTTGTCCACCTCAGGTCTCCGCACCGGAGCGGAGCCGTTGTAGAGCGGGTACCAGTAAAAATTGAGTTCGGAAGCGAGCGGCTGCTGAAGGCGGGGGCGGAGCGGAGGTAGTGGAATTTGGGGGTTAGAAACACAAATTCTGCGCTTCTCTCTCATATAATCAACCTTCTTGTTGCTTTGCCATCATGTCGTGTAAACCAGACGTGAGATTGGATCCAAAATCATGACTTTGAAATCAATATAAAAAATTCTTAAAAAACATCTGAATAGTCAAAAACAGATTAGAAAACTAACAACACACACACACACACACACACAAAACTACAACCAGAGCAGCTGTCACTCTGGACCACAAGCTGAACACCGTGTTCCAATCATCATCCTAACTACATCCAAATGAGCAGGCTCAGCTAAAGCCCAGTTAAAGGCCTACATGGATTTCTGTGGATCTAAAGGTCACCAGCAGCGTTTCGGTGACATCACCGTTAATGAAACAGCAGCAGAAACGATTCTTCTTGGCTGTAAAGAATCTTTAGTTTTCTTTAAGGAATGCTTTTTAAACCTGTCAGTTTATTAACCATGAAGCTTTTTCTTCAACAGAAATTCAGAGCAGAGTCAACAAATGTTTGTCAAATCAATAGACAGCAGAGCAATGCCTCATGAGAAGAGAAGGAGACACGGTAGGGTTGAGTCACCGAGAGACTAATGCCAGTCTGACGTGGGATCTGTGGCAGGAATGTGGGTCACAGTAGGTACTAAGACCCTCCCCCAATCCCTTTCTGTCCTCTATAATCTCAATCTTTGAAGGAGTGAAGCAGCTGAAATGGATTTGATGAGAAGTTAAGTGTGAAAACCAACACCAATCAGTCACCCAGTGGCTCAGAAGCATGGGTCCGACTGAAATGATTTTAGCACTCACTTTGGTTCCACCCACACTTATGATGCGGTAGACATTACGATGGGCGTCGTAGAAGAAAGACACAGTGACAGCATGCTTGCTCGCAGGAATCCAGTTTCTCTTGGTGGCGGGGTCGATTTGGAAAACATGGGCGCGAGTGCTGAAAATCGGCTGCTCCCTGGGAACGACAACACAGGAAGTAGGATGAGATTTGGAAACATCACACCTCACAAAGCATTAGAACAAACTCGTTGAACGGAGTGAAGCATCTAAAGACCTTTTATTCATCAGCAACCAAATAAATGCTTCTGTTGGCCCAGAGAAGCTCATCTGCTCCTGGTGGGATTTACAGACATCCAGGATGTATAATAGTTGAGTCATAAATGGTTTTATTTCGACTGACTTGTCAGCGAAGCTAAAATATTAACAAGTTCTTAAAACTTCCTGCAGTAGACTGACTCAGGTAAAAGGTTATCCTGCTAGTGCTCAGACATACTAGTCTAGTACTTTAAAGGGGCATTATGGAAGTGTGACAGCCAAAACACGTATAGAAATAATAAATGTCTTCTTCATACGTTCTCCTGCAATGCCCTGGTCCTGTAGAATGAGCCCTGGCATTTTTACTGTGATTGCCTGTTTTTCTGTAAAATCACAGAAAAAGAGAGATGCTCGGGTCGAGCAGGCTGCTTCATGCGCGTTCACGCTCAGGCATCGCCCGTAGCATTTGCTATCCGTAGCTTTAGCAGCAGAGAGAGAGGCAGTGCCACTTTGTCGCTGTTCCTAACGCCTAGTGACAAAGCTAGCTACATTTCTGAGGACCCTTAGCTACTTTCTGTAGAACTTTCTTCTAGATATTTCCTGCTAATTAGCAACAAAATAGCCATTTTCACTCCGAACCGTTCTTTGAACGTTGTTTCAGCTGTCATCAAGGATATAAAAGTTACAGATACAAAAGACGTCACTGGTGCTTTAGCTCACCTAGTAAGATGTCTGACTCTCATGTAGGAGACCTGGGTTTGATTCTGGATGTGAACATAATTCTTTTGGAGTTTATTTTTTACATTAATGGTATATTTTTTACAGTAAGATGCCCAAATTTTTATTTGAGACTCACCGAACGGCATTGAATTCACAGATAAAAAAAGATGTGGGTTCAACTTTCATTTGGGAACAATTTTTCAAGCAAGGGAAGGGAATGATCTGAGCATGCAGGAGGACTGACCCATCATAAACCTTTGTCGGCTGTGCTGAAGAGAAAGCTACAGAACCAAATTATTTAATTAATTAGCTGCGTGTTCTCCTGTCCTCTGTCCTCCGGGCCACACACACACACACACACACACACACACACACACACACACACACACACACACACACACACACACACACACACACACACACACACACACACACACACACGGGACTGTCTCAGCTGTTATTTTCGTTAATGAGTGTGCACGTACAGCATGCGCGCCTCGTGCACGAGCCTACTATTGAAGCTGCCGTTACGCTTTTGGCCTGAGGGGGCAATCGCGAGCATAAAAATTCAAAACTCCGTAAAGTCCCTTTAAAGAGTTCATGAATAAGTTTATCCTGGTTGTGAGCTACAGAGCAAGCTTTCGTTATTCCGCCTTCCCCAGGATCCACTGATTTCCCTCTTTCCTATTCACTCTCTCGCTTTCTTTGCATTTTTATCACAATTGTCTACTTTTGCTTATTTCAAACAATTTTTTAATAATTTTCTTAAATCTTTTCTATATTTAACATTTTTGGTTTTTGAGAAGCGCCTCGTGATTTTTATCATGAGAGGCGCTAAAGAAAAGATAATTTTCTTTCTTTCAAGTGTGTACCTGTGTGTGTGTGTGTGTGTGTGTGTGTGTGTGTGTGTGTGTGTGTGTGTGTGTGTGTGTGTGTGTGTGTGTGTGTGTGTGTGTGTGTGTGTGTGTGTGTGTGTGTGTGTGTCTTTTTCATTTGACAGGTTAATGAAGTGCCTGTAAAGATTCAGAGTCTGACGCAGGACCTTTCAATGAGCCACTAATGTCTTTGTGACTGGTCCATCCTGACATGACAGCACCAGCTCCATCCATGATGGGAAGTTCCACTTCCACCACATCCCAAAGACTGTGGATTGGACAAAGATCTGATGACTGTGGACACCGTTGGAGTCCAGTGAACTCACGATCACCATGTGCTAGAAACCGGTAAGAAATAACCTGAGCTTTGTGACATGGTGCATGATCCTGCTGAACGTGGCCATCATAAGATAAGACCTTGTGGTCATAAAGGGATGGGCATGGCCAACAGTACTCAGGTAGGCTGTGGGGTTTAAACCTGGCTCAGGAGATACTGAGGGGTCCAAAGTGGGACCAGAATACCACCACCATCACACCAGCAGCAGGAAAGATCCATGCTATCATGGTGGTGACACCAAATTCTCACCCAACAGCTGGTCTCATCAGACCAGGAAATTATTTCTAGTCTGTTCAGGTTCAGTTCTGGTGATCCTGTGGGAACTGTAGCCTCAGTTCCCTGTTTTTAGCTGACAGGAGAGACACCTGGGGCCTTATTTATCAACCGTACCTACGCACAGATCTGTGCGTGTATCGTGCAAAGGAACTAATTTAAGCATTGTGCGGTATTCATCATTTTGTACCTGTGCGTGAAAATGTTCCTAAGCATAAGAAAACTTCCGACCGTGCGTAGGAACAGCATCTGGTGGTAGAACGGGGGAACCGCAACACTTTGAAGGTCTCAGTCATCCACACATGTTCCTCATTTGCAAATCATGATGATGACTTTGGTGGAGAAGCGGCTGCGTCACACGGTTGGTTTCTAAAACACCTGACGGGAATCTGACATGGTAGAAGGAATATCGTGTTTTTTGTAATTACAATTGTTACTCTCCTCATTTTATGATGTTCTTAATTGTTTTTGATTAATTGATGTTATTGTTAATTTAATTCTATATTTTTAAATCTGTTCTGTCTACATGTGTGTGTGTAACCTTGGTCAGGCTGTTCTGTGAAGTCAAGTTCCTATGCTCTGGTTCGCTGGAGCGCTGGCAATAAAGCTTTCTCTGATTCTCTGATTAAATGTGCGCCTCGTGATTTTGCTTGAGATGCGACAGATAAAAGATCATTTCTTATTATTATTTCAGAGGATTTGTCAGAGCATGCTCTCTGGATTAAACACGCCTCTGACAGCAGATCAGCTGTGCTGGGACTTGAGACCCACTGGAGCGACACACAAACTGCACAGATCTGATTCCAGTCCGTATTCTTTTTATGTGAACCCCCCAGAACCTCCTCTGCTCCCCGATCATACACGCGTTGCCAAGGTAACCAGATGGCATGACAGCTCAGAATGGGCTGCACTCTTGGACAACATTTCCAAATAAAACTAACTCCAACCAGAGCGACTACTTTAACGTATGTACTCTACGATTTGTTATATGAACGTTTCACTTATTCCTGACAGGAACCTCTCCTCTGTCTCTGTTTATAACCTTTCAGCCAGTGGCTACCACCTAGAACCAGTCCGACCAGGCTCCGTTAACCCTAGAGATGAATAGAGGTTCAAATCCCAGTAGATCAGACCAGCCCGGTGCCACCAATCATGCTACGCATCAGCTGGAACTTCAGCACGTCACATAGATGAATACGTGGTCAAGTCTCCAACGTGGAAATGCAGGAAATTTCACACACTTACATTCTAAATAAACGTCAAACAACAAATATAGACCATCTAAACTTCAGTGTTTGTTTACTAAAAAGAAAAGAATGGACCGTCTGTTAGTCCCTGGCTGCTTGGCGTGTTTCACTGACAACGTGTGTAAAATAAAAACAATCCCATAAGTGATCCTCAGCCAGAAGAACGTCTAAACAGGCTGCAGAAGAGGTGGAACAGCACGATCTCATTCCTACTTTAAAACTAACTTTATGGATAAACTGAGCAGAAGACTTTCTTTTGTCAGGGCTGGGGGTTGTTCAAGAGTGGCTTCTTACCTTTCTCTATGGTGAGGAAACATCTTACAAGCTGAACCGCACTTATTTTCTGCAAAACAAACAAACATCTGTTAACTGGATGAGGTAATAAATATGTTTCCCTGCTGAAACGCCACTGACCTGATTTAACTCTCAAACCCCGCTGAAGCAGCAACTGTAGTCTTCTCTTTCCTTCGGTCTGTGCCACCAGATGCTTTAATCCTGCTTTACTCTCCGGCAGAATGAGGGTGGCGTGGGGGTGGGGGTGGCTGCACACAGCCTCCTGCAGCAGCCCGTCAGCGCCTGTGGTTACTCCTGGAACAGCTGAGTCCGACCCAGAGAGTCACACGCCGGGCAAAGAAAAGAGAAAGTCGTCTCAGCTGACGAAGGGAGTGACCATTCTCAGTCCATCTGTGTTGGGTCAGAGGTCACAGGAACACCAGTAGCGTCTCCCTGGATTGTATCTTTGCTTTTAGGGCTCTTGGCTTCAGCTGCCTATCTAACCAGCACCGTGCACCTGCTGGTTCTGCAGCTACTGAACACAGCTCTATAAGCATGTGGCAGTGAAGCAGGGAAAGTGTGTCAACCCACCCGCAGCTGATTTATGGAGCTAGAATTCACACTTTAATACTTGTGACTTGTTAGCACTTTGATTTTCGTTTTGTAGCGTTTCATTCTTGTTTAAAAACATGCAAGTTTCCTTTTGGAGCACTTTAATTCTCATTTTGTAGCATGTGTGGGTCTGACGCACCGTGGTTATCGTTCCTTCCCGTGGTCCCTTTAAGGAACCCTAACGTCTGCACGCAGTTTATTTGATGTTGGAAGGGTTGCTCTCCCAGTTAGCTTAGCCTCAGCACGGCTATGGCTACATCTGTCTCGGCTTCTCCGTCTCCTATCTCTTGCTTTTTGTGTCAGATGTTTACTTACTCCTCTGCCTCCTTTAGTGATAATAGTACATTTAAAGAGCAAGTCACCCCCAAATCAACCTTTTTTTCCTGATAAACTACATAAATGCGTGTCTAATCGTGCTGCAGACACGTGTAGTCAATAGGTTTGCACTTTAGTGCATTTTAGTTAAATTTTAAATTTTCTGCCTGAAACTGTCAGTGTTGTGCTGTTGTCAGGTAAAAACTTGTCACTGCATTTGAATTTAAACCTGCCATCGCTATTGGCTAAGAGGTATGCTATGATGTAAACTGGTACATTATGATGTCACAATGTCGTGAGTGTGTGTATTTGTTAGTGGCTCCACCCTCTCGGTCTGCTAGGCAACAGCATTTGTTGCATTTTTCAAACATGAAGTGGGAGTGAAGTACGCTTCTTGTAAGGGGTGACTTGCTCTTTAATAAACGTAGCATTTTTGTAGCTTTGGAGGCGAGCGTGTCAGAATTGGAGGCCCGGCTTTGAGCTGTTGAAAATTTGAAAACTGTGCAAGTTTGCCAAAACAATGTCGGCCTCTGTAATTTTCTCTGGCCCCCTGCCTGATCGGACCAGTGACGACATGTTTAGCCGCATGCTGTCCTCCAACCGCTGGCTGTCTAGGTGGTGTCCTGAAAACAACGTGGGCTACATTGATAATTGGAAAACTTTTTGGGGAAAACCTGGTCTGATGCAGAGAGACGGCATCCATCCCTCTTTGGATGGAGCAGCTCTTCTTTCTAGGAACATGGCCAGTTTTATTAGTCCTCCATGACAACCCAGGGTCCAGACCAGGAAGCAGAGTCGTAGTTTAACCCACCCCTCTGCAGCTTCTGTACTGTTACCCACCCACTACCCCATACAGGGGCGTGTCCAGGGAGTGGCCTGGGGTAGCACATGCCACCCTTGGAATCTGATTGGCCACCCCAGGTGCTAACACGCTAATTTACCTTTAAATAGGCTTTTCATTGTCCACAAAAGGCTTGGGGGTAAAACAAAAAAGGCATAACCATTGGTGCCACCCATGCACAAAGCTGTGCCTCACCTGGGCCACCCCATTTTTAAAGATCTGGACACGCCACTGATCCAATAGAGACAGTGTCCTGCCCACGGCCAAAACCACACAGATTAAATATCAGGCTTAATAAAGCAAATCATGGAAAAATATTAGAACAAATTCAACTGAGCAGAAAATTAGAAAAATTAAATGTGGGTTTTTGAACATTAGGTCTATTTTTTCAAAGACTATCAGACTCAATTGGTTTTACCCAAAGAATGCATAGCTCCACCCACTCATGCCGTCATACATTATTATTAATAATAATACATTTTATTTAAAGCGTCTTTCAGGGAACTCAAGTTCACAGTACAAAAATGACAAAAGTCAAGCTAAAAGTTAAAGGCAGCAACATATCACTCATTAAAACCCTAGGAAAACAAAACAAAAGTCAAATAACAAGCAGCAGAACTAGCTCATAAACAATACGCAGTCTGGAAAGCATGAATTTTTAGTTTGAATTTGAAGGTGGGAAGGGAGTCAGAGTTCCACATGACTTATGGCAGAGAATTCCAGAGCCGGGGAGCAGAGCAACTGAAGGATCTGAGGCCCACGGAGGTGAGACCGAAGGATGGAACAGTAAGGTAGAGAGAGGATGACGATCTTAGGGAGTGGACTGGAGAAACTGTGTGAATGAGATCAGATAGATATATGGGACAAAGACTGTGAACAGCTTTGAAAATGAGAAGTAGGACTTTGAACTTGATCCACCGTTTAACTGGAGCCAGTGGAGTTGCTGAAGAACTGAATGGAGGTGGTGAAATAGGGGAGTGCAGGCGATGACTCGTACGGCAGAGTTCTGGACTAACTGAAACTTGTGGGTGCTTTTTGTAGATAGACCAACCAGAGGTGAGTTAGAGTAATCGATTAGGGAAGTGACTAAACTGTGGATAAGCATAGAAGCTGAATCATCTCAGCTCAAGCTCATCTCTCCTCTCCTTCACAGCCCCCAATCCTGGGTCCTGTCCTGCTCGTGGAAGATTCCAGTTCCGTCTTTAATAAACTTTAAACTGCTTTACGCCTCCTGGGAGTTCTATTGCATGGTGGAGCAGTTGTTAGCACTGTTGCCTCGCAGCACGAAGGTTGCAGGTTCGAAACTCGGCTGCGGCCTTTCTGCGTGGAGATGCGTGTTCTCCCCATGCATGCGTGGGTTTCCTCCGGGTACCCCGGTTTCCCCCACAGATCACAACACGCTCTATAGGTTTTAAATTGTAAGTCGCTTTGGATAAAAGTGTCTGCCAAATGAATGAACATAAACATAAACATCTTGCACATGGGTCAAATATATACCTAAAACCATGACAAAGACAAGCATGTAATCTACCCAACTGATTAGGTTAATCTGGGTTAATGGATCGATATAACTGAGTATCGTCAGCATAAAGATTTTACCGGAAACAACTGGTTCACCTGGTAGGCTCAACTATATATATATATATATATATATATATATATATATATATATATATATATATATATATATATATATATATATATATATATATATAGATAGATAGATAGATAGATAGATAGATAGATAGATAGATAGATAGATAGATAGATAGATAGATATAGATGTGACAGTGTGAGCGAACTGTCACTGTGTCCCGATCGAACATGTGACCTGGCTATTTGGCCAAGAGGATGTCCCTTTGGATGATGTTTAGCGTGCATGACTCTCACCCGGGAGTCTGGGGAGGTGCAGGTTCTGTTTGTCCTTTTGGTATGATATCCAGTATGTCGTCTACGTAGCCTTTCCATAATTTTATTTACCAGTTTGGGGGGGGGCAGTGGCTATGGCTTTTTGTTCCAGGTCTTCCATGAAAAACTCGCACAGGGTGGCTGATAACGGGTTACCCATGGAGAAGCCCTCCAGTTGTTTGTATATTGTGTTATCGTATGTGAAGTAAGTGGAGTTAGCTACCAGTGCTATCAGTTGTGCTACGTCGTCTGCTGTGAGGTTTGTTCTTTTGTGTAAAGTCTTGTCCTGTCTGACTCTGTTAACTACTATGTCTATGGTTTTTTTGGGTTGGTGTGTTTGTGAACAGAGATGTGACGTCATGTGAGATGAGTATGTCGTTGTCTTCTATTGTAATCTCCTTTAGTTCTTTTGCCAGTTCTGTGCTATTTTTATAGTGTTGATCTGTGTTTCCTAATAACGGGCTAAAACGGTTCCTTCAGAATAAAAGCTGAACTCGCTGACCCAAGGAGGGTCCCCTGTTTGACGCTGTGAAACACCTGTCGCTTTTTACCTGGAGACAATCCAAGGACTAGTCTGTCGTGCTGTGACGCTGTACCATCGGCTCCAGTACCGGAAGGAAGGTCCGAGGACCTGGGCATTCTGGATCCACCTTGGAGGTCTCACTGAAGGGTATGTGGATGCGACAAACTGGCGTCTCATGTGTTTATGAACACGGTTCAAACTTGATCAGGTAGGAGCAAAACATCATCTCCCACTCAGACTCGCTTCTCCGGACACGGAGGTTCTGAACTTGACATCGTTCACAAACACACCATCCAGCTCACACTTCATTCCAACAAACATCCATCATTAGAGAGTTAGTCTCGTTAAACTGTTTAAAAATCATTTAGTAATAAATGTCCTTAAACGTTTGAAAGTCTCTCTCTCTTCTCTCTTCTCTCAGTTGATGCAAAGTGTTATTTTAAAATCCCTGTAATAAAAAGATCCAATCTTCCGATTTAAATAACCCAGTGTCCATAAGATGGGATTCATACTAAATATGGATTTTTTTATGTCTTATGGTCCTTAATTAAATGTAATTCTAAGGTGATGGATGAAATCCCCATTAAGCAGCATCCTTACTGGGTAAATGCCATAAAAAGACAGGTAATGAAAGAGGAAACGGCTCATTTGCTTGAAAATGGCTTTGCTGTAAACAGTCAAAGTCCTTGGCCGCTTGTCTTTTAGTTGGAAAACAAGACAGAACGTCCCGTTTTATCACTGATTACAGAAAACTGAACACAGTAACTGTTCCGGATTCCTATCCACTGCCTCGAATTGATGATTGCATTGATAATGTGGGATCTTCAAACTATGTTACCTGACTTGACCTCCTAAAGGGAGGTCTGCATTACAGACCGCCGGATGCTGCTATAATGTATCTCCATCAAACAGGTGAAATGTTAGATATGGTTTGGGACACAGGAAATGAGATTTACCTATTAGGGGACTTAAACATAGATTGGAAATCAAGAAATTGCTCATTAAAGAGCAAATTAATCTCATTTGCTAATACTTTTAATTTGTCACAAGTTGTAAAAGATTTCACAAGAGTGCAGGTTAAAAATAATGGTGTCTGCTCTAAAACGAGTATTGATTTAATTTTTACTAATATGGCTGAATTATGTTCTGAGGCAATTTCTGTTCCAGTTGGATGCAGTGACCATAATTTGGTTGCTATTAAAAGAAAAGTCAAGGTGCCAAAAGGTCAACACTTTATATATAAAAGAATCTTTAAAAACTTTAAAGAGAGTGATTTTGTAGAAGAAATAAGAAACATAGATTGGAAAGATGTAACAAAGGAGCAGGATCCGGGTAAAGCTGTAGAGATCTTTGACAGTTTGTTAACAAAGGTGATAAATAAACATGCACCGATGAGGAAACAGGCAGTAAGAAATGTAGCTTCTCCATGGCTGGATACAGAACTTAAGGAACGTATGAGGCAGCGGGACAAATTAAAATTAGAAGCAATAAAAACAAATCAATTGGAAACATGGTGCGAATATCGCAAAATAAGGAACACTGTAACCAAACTGAATAAAAACAAAAAACAATTATATTATCATAGAAGAATCATAGAAGCTAAATTAGATCATGCAAAGGTGTGGGGTGCATTAAATGAACTTATGGGGGTTAAAAAAAGGGAAGGCACCTACTGTTCTAGAGGCAGATGGAGTTTTTTTAACCAAACCAAAAGAAATAGCTAATTATTTAAAACTGTTTTTTATCAATAAAATTAAAACATTGAATAATACCAGGGAGGAGAGAAAAGAAGAAAATACATCTTATCAAAGAATTAAGGATGACATAATGCAAATGAAAGATTGTGAGTTTAAGTTTATGGAGGTATCAGAGGATTACATAAAAAAATTAATCTTAAATAGTAAAGATAAACCCCCTGGAATGGATGATATTGCTATAAGATTGCTAAAATTGGTGGCAGATTTTATTTTACTGCCAGTTTCACATATTATTAACATAAGTTTTAATCAAAGTATTTTTCCAGCCCAATGGAAAAAGGCTAAAGTAATTCCATTAATCAAAAATAACCGAGAACCACTGTCTGGTAAAAATAGTCGGCCAATAAGTTTGCTACCAGTATTAAGCAAACTTTTGGAAAGAGTAGCATATGAACAAATACAAGAATATTTTATAACAAATAGATTAAACACAATTTATCAACATGCATATAAGGCGGGTCACTGTACTACTACTGCACTTGCTCAGATTACTGATCATTGGTTAGAAGAAATAGATGATAAAAAGTTAGTTGGTACTATATTTTTAGATTTGAGTGCAGCTTTTGATGTGATTGACCATAAAATCTTATTAAAAAAATTAGAACGTTATAAATTTCAGTCGTCCGCCATTAAGTGGACAGAAAGTTATTTAACGAATCGCAAATTCAACTTCTATTTTAATGGCAGTTATTCTGAAACGGGTCAGTTAGATTGTGGAGTGCCACAGGACAGTTGTTTGGGCCCTCTTTTGTTTTTTATTTTTACTAATGACTTACCTTTGATTTTAAAACACGCAACCATGGCTATTTATGCAGATGACACTA